CTCGTCGCACCGTCAAACCGTCAGCCTCGTCGCACCGTCAAACTAGTCAAACCATCGCACCTTATCGAAATTCACAAATTTAATAAGTGAAAATTGTAAACATATTGATTATCACCCCAATGAACAATTATCTTGGATTAAAACTAATCCAAGATCTCTAAATTTAACATCTTTTGTTTTCTTGACAATGTATGATCTCTCATATGAAACCCTAAAGTTCTAGTAGAGTTTGTGTAACACATTGTCTTAGGGTAGAAGATATTGTTTTTTCAGATGAATTACGATTAATAAAAATATGTTAAATATGTTATAATAACTCATATACACCACATTGAATATTCAAAACATTATTTAGATCGATATTTTTTTACACAAACCGTCTCACCGTCAGACTCGTCGCACCGTCAAACCGTCAGCCTCGTCGCACCGTCAAACTAGTCAAATCGTCGCACCTTATCGAAATTCACAAATTTAACAAGTGAAAATTGTAAACATATTGATTATCACCCCAATGAACAATTATCTTGGATTGAAACTAATCCAAGATCTCTAGATTTAACATCTTTTGTTTTCTTCACAATGTATGATCTCTCATATGAAATCCTAAAGTTCTAGTAGAGTTTGTGTAACACATTGTCTTAGGGTAGAAGATATTGTTTTTTCAGATGAATTACGATTAATAAAAATATGTTAAATATGTTATAATAACTCATATACACCACATTGAATATTCAAAACATTATTTAGATCGATATTTTTTTGCACAAACCGTCGCACCGTCAAACCGTCAGCCTAGTCGCACCGTCAAACTAGTCAAACCGTCGCACCTTATCGAAATTCACAAATTTAACAAGTGAAAATTGTAAACATATTGATTATCACCCCAATGAACAATTATCTTGGATTGAAACTAATCCAAGATCTCTAAATTTAACATCTTTTGTTTTCTTGACAATGTATGATCTCTCATATGAAACCCTAAAGTTCTAGTAGAGTTTGTGTAACACATTGTCTTAGGGTAGAAGATATTGTTTTTTCAGATGAATTACGATTAATAAAAATATGTTAAATATGTTATAATAACTCATATACACCACATTGAATATTCAAAATATTATTTAGAACGATATTTTTTGGAACAAACCGTCTCACCGTCAAGCTCGTCGCACCGTCAAACCGTTAGCCTCGTCGTACCGTCAAACTAGTCAAACCGTCGCACCTTATAGAAATTTACAAATTTAACAAGTGAAAATTGTAAACATATTGATTATCACCCCAATGAACAATTATCTTGGATTGAAACTAATCCAAGATCTCTAAATTTAACATCTTTTGTTTTCTTGACAATGTATGATCTCTCATATGAAACCCTAAAGTTCTAGTAGAGTTTGTGTAACACATTGTCTTAGGGTAGAAGATATTGTTTTTTCAGATGAATTACGATTAATAAAAATATGTTAAATATGTTATAATAACTCATATACACCACATTGAATATTCAAAATATTATTTAGATCGATATTTTTTTGCACAAACCGTCTCACCGTCAGACTCGTCGCACCGTCAGCCTCGTCGCACCGTCAAACTAGTCAAACCGTCGCACCTTATCGAATTTCGCAAATTTAACAATTGTAAATTGTAAACATATTGATTATCACCCCAATGAACAATTATCTTGGATTGAAACTAATCCAAGATCTCTAAATTTAACATCTTTTGTTTTCTTGACAATGTATGATCTCTCATATGAAACCCTAAAGTTCTAGTAGAGTTTGTGTAACACATTGTCTTAGGGTAGAAGATATTGTTTTTTCAGATGAATTACGATTAATAAAAATATGTTAAATATGTTATAATAACTCATATACACCACATTGAATATTCAAAACATTATTTAGATCGATATTTTTTTTGCACAAACCGTCTCACCGTCGGACTCGTCGCACCCTCAAACCGTCAGCCTCGTCGCACCGTCAAACTAGTCAAACCGTCGCACCTTATAGAAATTTACAAATTTAACAAGTGAAAATTGTAAACATATTGATTATCACCCCAATGAACAATTATCTTGGATTGAAACTAATCCAAGATCTCTAAATTTAACATCTTTTGTTTTCTTGACAATGTATGATCTCTCATATGAAACCCTAAAGTTCTAGTAGAGTTTGTGTAACACATTGTCTTAGGGTAGAAGATATTGTTTTTTCAGATGAATTACGATTAATAAAAATATGTTAAATATGTTATAATAACTCATATACACCACATTGAATATTCAAAACATTATTTAGATCGATATTTTTTTGCACAAACCGTCTCACCGTCGGACTCGTCGCACCCTCAAACCGTCAGCCTCGTCGCACCGTCAAACTAGTCAAACCGTCGCACCTTATCGAAATTTACAAATTTAACAAGTGAAAATTGTAAACATATTGATTATCACCCCAATGAACAATTATCTTGGATTGAAACTAATCCAAGATCTCTAGATTTAACATCTTTTGTTTTCTTCACAATGTATGATCTCTCATATGAAATCCTAAAGTTCTAGTAGAGTTTGTGTAACACATTGTCTTAGGGTAGAAGATATTGTTTTTTCAGATGAATTACGATTAATAAAAATATGTTAAATATGTTATAATAACTCATATACACCACATTGAATATTCAAAA